TCGATTTGTAATTTTATTAAAATGTAAGAAATCAGAAAACATATTTCAATAAAATATTTAATTTTCTATATATTTTTTTCTAAAAAAAACCATAATTAGAGAAAATAACAAAGGGTAGAGTCTTTTTTTCATGTTTTTTTTCAACATAGTGAAAAAAACATGTTCATTTTTTAATGTTACATCACTAGGTAGGTATCGTAAAAATTCGCAATATCTTACATTATTCATTTTGGAAGTCACATAACATTATCTTGCATCGATAGGTCTGCTCTACCTTGACTTAGAACACTACCAGATGGTCATTATTAAACCATATTTATAGCTTTTATAGATAGATAATCTCGAGTCATTTTATAACATCACGCCCTAACCATTTAAGTGTAAGCAGGGGTGAATGCATATTTTGATGTCACCACAACTCATAAATTATAGTATTAGGAGATATTAGAATTTGTCATTCAATATTGCTTTATTGCAATTGACATGTGGGTAAACAATTAATTTAATACAGCTATAAATATGTTTTTAATTATTATAATAACTTGAATTATTTTAAAGACCTATCGAATATAATTTCCGCCCGCGTTGCGATGACCAAAAACCAAATTCTTAGGTTTTACATATTAGTATACTCTTACATTACAGTTTTGTATTTTTTTTAAGAGATGAGATACTTTCAAGCGGTAAAAAGTATCTATTTTGACCCGGATAATCAGCTATCACCATACCAAATTTCGTCAAAATCCCTCCATTGGTTTTTCTGTGATGCAGTAACAGACAGACAGACAGACAAGAATTCTAAAAACTATAAGTTCGGCCTCTGCCTCTGTATCGATAATAATGTTTATTTCAATAAGATTTTCCAAAAAATATTTAATGTACAGATTCGGCTTAGTTACAATTTTATTATATGTATAGATGACAAATACATACATATGTAGGTACTAGGTAAGTGTTTAATGCCCACGTAAATACGTTTTGTTGCAAGATGGAAAAAAAGTTAGTGACTTCTCATCTCTACGTTTAATGTATCTACGTTTTGGTTAAACTGGCACGCTTTGAAACCATTAAAAAGAAAATTGAATTGAATTAGATTCTTTTCTAAGCCAGTCTATGTATGTAGGTATAAAAGTGATAGGTATTCGCCGCGTTTAATAGCAAGAACCGATTGATAAATTATCATAAGTATAATAATTATAGAGATCGTTAGCAACTTTAAACTAATTTCCTCATAAAATATTAACAGTTGATGACGAATTTAAGCTTTGTTAGTCATCAAAGTTAGCCAATAGCCCAGATGAACTAAACAAACATTTATGGTCAAAGATCTACTAGGCAGGCAAACCGACCTTTTTCATAGTTGACAGGTTAACCCGATACAAACTTCATTGTTATGATTAAAAACTTTTTAAAAATAGTAAAATATTAAATAAATATTATTATTGTTATTAGAATTTATTATTTGAACTAAAATTTATATTAAACTAGCGACTCACTCTCGCTTCGCTCGGGTTCGTCCCTAGGTACGTTTTAATCGTAATTATGGAATAGGTAGACTATATAATATATGGAATAGATAGACTAAATACATATATTAAATATATATATATATATATACATAGGTATGATGAGTTGTTGTGGGTTGTATTATAATGCGTTTTTCCGTGGGAATGCGATAAATTTTCCAATGTTCTGCACAATTTTCGAAATTTTTCTTTCCATAAGAACCTTCTACAAAGTATTAGAAAACTTAAAAAAAGATGAATAAAATCGGTAAAGTCGTTCTCAAGTTATGGCGTGACCAAGGGTAATAAGGGTTAAATTTTTATTGTATTGTATGATGTATTGCATCTTTCTTCATTATTATACCTATTATATTTATACTTATTATTTATTAAGTTTATCTATTAAATCGGTAAAAAGGTGTGGTAAATTATGTATGGGAAACTACTTTTCGGGTGTAAATTTTTAAAAGAAGTAGCCGGGATTTGATGACCATTTTATAAATTTCATGTGATTTATGATACGGAGAAATTAATGGACAATGACTTAACATTTTATTATGGCCAGTGTGGGAAAAATTACAATCGACTAAAGTAATCGCGTAGAGTATTCGTAATACAAAATACACAGTACTTATATAGGTGTGTACTTACACATAATTAACAATTATTTTTACATGGAAGCTCTTTTCAAAGTGTAGGTATTCCTATGACTCCTTTACACAATATTTGCCATTACATGTATTGATAGGTTTTTTATGATGTTGGTGAATTAAATCTGTCAGTATTTTTTAGTTTTAAGTCTATTTTTAAGTCCGGAAGTTATAACTCCATTCATTAAATGATCGATCTTTACAGGTGTTTATCTGTATTAAATTCTATTGAGTAAGCATTTAGTATGTATATTCAAAGAATCAAAATATATTTTTTTAAATATAATGAAAAAATCTTTAGGTACTTAAAATAGGTTCGACAAAACAATGGTACTCACAAAAATAATATACAGACTTCGAAACTTTAAATGGCATGAAATCAAATAAAAAACGGCGATATACAAATAATTGCGTTAACTCGCGGCACTTGTGTTAAACAATGGGTTTATTGGCGCCAAAATCAGGGTGCATACGCACTTGACCATCTGTGAATGTGGAATACGATTCGATTATTTTTAATTTTTATTTTTTTATACGTATGCAAAGGTTTTTTGAGTTATGCCAAGTTTTATGCGGGTTTTTATAAGAATCTGATTATGTATTGTACATATTGGTCAATTTTAAGTAGGTTTTAGTCAAGTAGTATTTATTCGTATTTTTAGTTTTACTTTAAAAAAAGATAACAAGTTAATAAGTATTAGTCCCGCTGAGTTTCTTTCGCCAGTTCTATCAGGTCTGAGGCTTCTTCTTTCCGAACTGGTAGTAGACTCATGACGTTCAGTAAAAAATTGTAATAATTTAATGCTGAATAAAATATTATGAATTTTGAATTTGAATTTAAAATAAAAATTGTGAAAATAATAGACTTCACAGACATATCAATTGACATAAATTATTTAAAATTATATTTAATTTAACTGTCTAAAATATAGGTATATGCCTATTAAGTTTTAGTATTTAATTTAATACTTGGCTTATATTTCGAAATTACAAAACTCTAAGTAAACTTTATAGTCAATCTAAATTCCCAACAATTTATCTGGTAGTCGTAGCGGTCAAACATTAATACATTTTATAGCCGGCCGTTATTGCCGATTTGTAGTGCCCATTCGAGAGTTATCGAGGGTGGAAAGGATTATGCCATTACAATAAAGGGTGGTTAGGTTTAATCACCGCTGCTGGGGCTTTGTTCTGAATAGTTAAGTTTGGCACAATCGATTACTGCAACCGAGTTTTCCGTCCCTTTGCCACGTAAGTAGGTATTGAAAAGGAATCTAGAAGTTACGTTCCTATAAATATACTATATATGATAGTCTTACCGATTTTAATAATAAAATATAAGTGATTATGTGTAAAGAAAGATGAAAGATAGTATTTAAATATATTATTTACTACCTATAGGTATAAGAATAAAATAAATTCTTCAGAATGTTTAGTTTTCTCTAACAATTCGTTGGTTTCTTTCCTTTCCTTACTTTCTTACGAATACGACGAATATAACGACATATTAAAATTTTACTTGGCTAAATTTTCAAACGTTTCCGTTTCTGTAATGTCTGTGTCGCCATCTTGTATTGCAGTTTGTAATTATAAAAACAATACTATCTTAAAAGCATAGTGTAGCTATATACTATAGGCTGAGTACATACACAAAAGGCCGTCCCTCGAGCATTCCGTCGAGCCGTCCGTTGAGACACTCTTCGTCAAGTAATTGTTAGACAGACCCGACAAGCATTTAGGACCACAAATTAACTACCTAGACCAAAAAACCTATCTGGTTTACGATCTAATGGGGAAGATCTTTTAAAGAGGGAAGGAAGATCTTTTTCATTCCGCCAGATGTCGCGATGACTATGATCCTCAGTATATTGTAAAGCTCTATAGCGTGAATGGATTTTTTTCATTGTATTAAAAAATTAAAATTGCAAATTGTGAAGTGCCAGGATGCAAAAAAAAAGTTTTTCTGTAAAGTCGATTTACGAACGATTCTTTTACAATATCATAACAAATAATAAACGCTCATTGTTTGTTCCTAAAAGACAAAAACTGAAAGAAATTGTGAGCTAAAGCAATAAGATGACCAAAATTGGCGAATCAAAAACTTTTAATTTAAGGCTATGTGGACATCATTTTAAAGAGTGATTTTAAAACTTTTAAGTCTAATAGGTGATTATTTTTTATTATTGGTACTTTTTTACATATTAATTACAGAGTTTCATACAATCTTTCATCCCCTATTTTACCCACTTAGGGGATGAATTTCGAAAAATACTTTCTTGTCGAATGCCTACATCATAAAAGGAATACGTCCCTCAAATTTCACGACTCACGTTTCTACAACAAACGGTTTAGGCTGTGTATTGATTCATCAGTCAATCAGGACCACCACAGAATGCACCTCTCCTTCACAATTCTTCCTTCAGCTGGTCTAACTTCTAGGTACAAATAACAATACATCGCACAAGTAAGATGCAAACACAATAGAATCAAAAACCCGATACAAAAGAGATCTTATAATAAATTGCTTAACCTCACACTAAATGTATATAGATCTTACGTGTAGCGTCCTCTTTTCAAGAATCTTCCCCATTTATAATATTTTTACAGAGATTCACAAATGTTCTACAAACATCCAATTGTTAGACGATTGACATTGACATTAGATTGTAGATATTTGATATTGACGAGTGACCTGAGGACTGAGGCTCTGACTTCTGACGTTTGAAAATCAAATATGACATATTAGCCACTAACGTAATCAAATTAATTTTCATGCATAGATCGTTTTCTTATCATGAAAAAATGACTAAATAATTATTTTCAATTATAATAAGCAATCATCAACATGTGGCAGTTATTGCATATGCAGCCTTGTCAGCTTATGCGACAACGGTTCGTTTTCTTAAAAAATTATGTGATTAGAAACATTATTTATTTTGAAGCTATTACTTAACAAAATAATTGAATTGAATATTTATGAATATAAAGCTAATATTGTAAACATTTTTTTTAGGTTGGTCTCATTTAAAAGTAATGGCCACTTGGCAAATATTATAAAAAACAAACCATCAGAGGCAGTTAAAAGGTATTTTTCAAATCCTAAAACTGCGGCAGAAAAGGATGTGAAAACTAGTGTTCTACTTTTTATTAGCCCCTGGAAGCTGTGCACAGGTGTTAGCTTAGGGTTAACAGCACGTCTATTATATAATAATGGCATTGTATATTGTAAAGCCCTTCCATCAAGAATTATACAGCGTAGGCCAAATATCCATGAAGACAGTGCTAAGTTTGACTGGAAAAGGTTTTGGGAGTACCTTCTCCCTCATAAATGGCTTTTAGCTGCAGCTGTTGCGGTAAGTACTTTATATAATGGAAGCTAGAATAACACTTGATGTACATAATATGTATAATAATAACAATTGGTAAAAGTATATTATAAATGCATATTTCCATTTATTATAAGTGTATAAGAAATTAATATGAATTTTTTATATTATATTTTTATCAGATTTTACAAGGAAACTTTAATTTAATTAAGTTAAATATACATGTACTTTCAGTCTGCACTAGCCGTTGCCTTCCTTAATGTCTACATTCCTGCAATGTTGGGAGTCATAGTAAACATATTAGCAAGTATGAGAACAAATCCTTCAGTTGATTTCCTGGAAGAGATAAAGATGCCTGCTTTGAAAATGATCTCATTGTACATTGGGCAAGTAAGTTGTTTTTCTGATAATTAAATGTTATTACAAATAAATAAAATAGAAGTGTCTGTTTGTAATGTCAAACAATAAACATGAACTCGTTTAGTACTTATAATAAACAATTAGGTTTTTAAATTTTTGTTTGTGTGTCTGTTTGTTTGTTTCGGCTAATCTTTGAAACTGCTGGACTGACTTAGATATGACTTTCACTGGCAGATAGCTAATGTAACAAGGAGTAACTTAGGTTACTTTTATTTTAAAAAAGTTTGCTTTAAAAAATTAAAATGTATTTGGGGACTAAGTAAGTCACTAATATTTCATATATTATATGGTCATATTTAATATGACTCTTATTTTAAATATATGTCTTTTTATTCTATTTATTTTTCAATTCATGAGTAAAATAATAAAAGCAAATGAGCACATTGTAAATATTAAAGAATAGGTTTTCAATTAATTTCCTATTAATGTATTTACTTATTTCATATGTTGATTTTTCATGTAATTTCTTTTCCAGGCAATATTCACATTATTTTATATTCATTTATTAGCCCAAGTAGGTGAAAGAGTAGCGGCACAGATGAAACAAGACTTGTTTGTGTCAATACTTCAACAAGACATGGCATTCTTTGACCAGGAGAGAACTGGAGAACTTGTTAATAGGTAAATGAAAATTTATTGTAAGTAATTACATATAAAGATGGCATTATTTAGTAGACATCCTGACAAAATTAAGTTTTAACAATTAATCAGTGTGCCAGTAGGTTGTGTTTTTTTTGTATAGTTATGGCAATGGATCGTAGTCAGCTATGTTATTTCAATAAAAAAAAATATTTTAATAAAATAAAAAATGTCCCAATATATTTTTTTATTGTTACTATTATTTATTTCCAAATTTCAGGATAACAGTTGATGTGCAGGATTTTAAAAGTTCTTTTAAGCAAACAATATCTGGTGGTTTGAGAGCAATTACTCAAGTAAGTTGCATTGAAAAATATTCTTCATAATTTAATTGAGAATTTATTAACATAAAATTATTATTGTTGCACTACCTTTACTAATGTAAAAAAATAATAATATTAAAATGTGTTAATCTGTCTGTTTCATGTTGCTTCTTTATAGCCTAAACTGATCTAAACTAAATTAGTTAATAACTTATAGACTTCAACTTGTTTATTACCTACTCCTGAATCTGATGATGGTTTTTTTAATAAAATACTAGAGATTTAACCCTCGTTTTGCTCCGTTGTACTTTGTTGTACTGTACTTGACTGGTTTAGGAACGCATCGAGGACAGACATACGAACATTACTCTTTATATATATGGATAGATGAGAATTAAATTTATATCAAAAATAAATCAAAAGTAATGAGTAAAATATCTCACTCATATTGTAAATGTGAAAGTTTGTGAGGCTGGATGTTTGTTACTCTTTCACACCAGAACGGCTGAAGGGATCTAGATGAAATTTGGCACAGAGATAGATTATATCTTACATATATTAGATCCCGTGGGATAGGTGTTTTTGTCTAGAGACAAACTCAAAGCGGAGCAAGGTTGAGTCACTAGTGTATAATATTGTCTTAATTTCAATTAATTTACTTTTTAAACTACTTTTTCACGCAGGGCAGGTTTTACACAACTGCTTAAAAGCGATCAATAGGTGATAGGAGCACCCTTTGCACATTCTGGTTAGCTTTTAAGATCATACTTGTTTTATATATGGTGTAGCTTTCTCTTTTACTCAAAAGTATTAGGTTCTTTATGTATCTGTTTTATTTAAATATTTTAGTTGTAGGAGTTTAGACATACAGTTAGTTTATGACTTCAATATTTTATTTAATATATTCTATTGCAATATAGTTAGTTTGTAAATAATTGATTTTATTTGATTTATATGTATATGATGTTTCCCTACAAAATAAACATTAAACACTTTAACACAATATTAGTTCTTATGATATCAAATATAACTTTTTAATATATAATCCAAACTAAATACAAAATCGCTTTATATGTATCCATTTATATATTTCCATAAAAGATTTTTTTGTATAATTTAAATATAACGACCACTTCGTGGTCTTTTTTTTAATAAACAGATTCATTAAAGAAAAGACCACAATAACCAATGACATTATGTAACATAGACACAAAAAGCACCTTCAGCCTTTTTTAATTTTTTAAAGTTGGTAAAAATGTAGGTATGTAATTCAAATTTCAGGTGGTAGGATCTGCAGTAAGCCTTCTAGTGATATCTCCACATCTAACAGGCATGACTATGCTGTGTGTGCCGTCAGTTGTTATAGGTGGTACATTTATAGGGTCTCTACTAAGGAAATTGTCTCGAGATGCGCAAGCGCAGGTATTTTTATTATTACTACGGTTAGTATGGAATAGATAGACTATATATATCTATACATATGTATAATAAAATTGTAACTAAGCCGAATATGTACATTAAATATTTTTTGGAAAATGTTATTGAAATATCTATTTTATTACCGATAGAGAGGCCGAATCTATAGTTTTTTAGAATTTTTGTCTGTCTGTGGTCTGTGACCGCATCACGGAAAAATCGCTGGAGGGATTTTGATGACATTTGGTATGATAATAGCTGGTTATCTATATGTGATATAATAATATATTATCTCATCTCTGAGAAAATCTATACTAAATCGCTCCAGCTGTTTTGGAGTCCATTTAATCAACAATTTAAATTTATTTATTGCTTGGAAAATGGAGTCTTTTATAAAAATTTAGTGACACACCGACTGCAGTGCCACTTACCGGAATCATTTGTGTTTTCAAACCATCCAGGAGCCCATTGAAATATACACACAAAATTTCATCCAAATCGGTCCAGTCCTTTAGGAGGAGTAGGTTAACAAACACACGTACAAAAGAATTATATATATTAAGATATGAAGAGTTGTTGTGGATTGTACTATAACATGTTTTCCCGTGGGAATGAGATAATTTCCCGCGATAAAAAGTAGCGTATGTCACCCTCCAATCCCTCAATTATATCCACACAAAAAAAGCCATTCGACGAAAGACTAAACAAAAAGATAAAAGACGAGCAGGACAAACAAACACACTCACATTTATAATAGTATATAGTCGAGGAGTATGGATATACTGTTTTACTTGAAACCTATTTGTTTCCAGATAGAAAAAGCAACGTTAGTAGCAGAAGAAGCTATAGCTAACGTGAGAACGGTACGAGCGTTTGCTGGCGAAGAGAATGAAGCGAAGTTGTTCGCAGAAGAGTGCAATGTTGCTGCTGATCTTAATATGGAATTGGGTCTTGGTGTTGGCTTGTTTCAGGCTGGGACTAATTTGTTTTTAAATGGGTGAGTTTGTTTGTTCATAAATTATATATTTATATGTATTATATTGCTCAATTGGTATAGAAATTATAAAAAAAATTTGTAGTGTTTTTAATTAGAAGTACGTAATATTATATTTTCCCGCAGTAAAAAGTATCCTATACATTGACCCGGATAGCCAGCTATCATCATATCAAATTTTATCAAAATCTGGCCAGTGGTTTTCTCGTGATGCGTTCCCAGACACAGACAGACAGACAAAAATTCTAAAAACGATAGATTAGGCATAGGATTGACTTCTGTTTTTCCAAAAAATATTTAATGTACAGAATCAAATCAGAATTCCATTATATGTATAGATTTAATACCAAAAAATAAAATATCACACACAGTATGGTTTCCTTTCAATATGAGGGTAGTTCATCATTTATGCCATTACACATGCTTGTTTCCTTACAATGTTTAAATTTTTAGTTTACAAAAACAAACTTGCAATATGGCAAAATAGAATAGAAATAAAATAATTATTTTCTAAAGCTATTCCATTCCCGTATACAATTATATTTATAAACCGCTTTAAACCGTAAAAATTAACTCAACACCATACATTTCACAGTATGGTATTAGCGACGATGTTTCTAGGGGGGCACTTCATGTCAACGGGGCAGATGTCGGCCGGTGACGTCATGGCGTTCCTCGTCAATGCCCAAACTGTGCAGAGATCTGTGGCACAGATATCTCTATTGTTTGGCTCTGTGGTGAAGGGACTCAGTGCTGGTGGGAGAGTGTTTGAGGTGAATATGGCCATTATTTCTATGCGGATAGAGTTTATTTTCGTTGTGACACTTGAATTGTGAAGTTCCTGGTCGATGCCTGGATTTTATTTGTATGTTGTTAGTTTGTTTTTAGAGAGACTTGGAAATGTAAATAAGGTATCCGTATGGAAAATAATGTGAACAAATAAAAAGTATTTAGAGTGAGGCAGTTTTAACTGCGGTCCTAGGTTTATTCAAATCTAAATCCGCCGCGGACCATTTGTAGTTATTTGCTTTTAAGAAATTCTTAGTACCAGTTCGTTATTGAGAAATTGTCGGTCTTGAGAACTGTCGTCTCACCAGAATATGAAAGTGAAATCGATAGAGAGTGGACCTTGTACATACGCTATATAATATTATCTCAACTTTTATAGTGAGAGTGTGTTCAAATTTATATTCTAATAAAAACAAATATTTTACTATGGCAACACAAAAAGTAACTAAACTTATACATATTTAAAATGTCTTTTGCAGTACATAAATAAGAAGCCTCAAATGGACACTTCAGGTACAAAAACTATTAAGTATCACGAGTTCCACGGCGATATCGAATTCAAAGATGTCACATTCGCGTATCCTACGAGACCAGAAGCTGTGAGTCATTCAAATTAATTATTTTACATATTTAAAAATAAATATTTATTTATTTTAATAAAGTTTGCTTGTGGTTTTACATGTTTTACAAGAAATGATTTAAGTTAAATAATTAAAATACAGGCACAATTATGAATAACCATTTAAAAGCACAACTTGCATATCTTTGTGTTCGTTTTCACAATTATGAAGATTTTGTAAACATTCATTAATATTCTAGTTTAATCACTAGCTTAAATAAATTAAATAAAAATAAAGTAACAATACAATTTACAACTGATAATTAATTAAATAAAAATAAAGTAACAATACAATTTACAACTGATAATTAATTATATAAATATCTATAATTTACAATGTATATAAATTATGATAAAAAAATATGTTGGGACATTAACACACAGCACCACTTAGTTCTATGATAAGCTACGAGGTTTGAGTTATGGATACCAGATACTTGATACAGTACACATATATAACTTTAACTACATACATATTATAAATATTTATTTATATAGATAGTTCTTTACTAACGAAAAGTATTATTTTTAACACTCTTTCTTTAGCCATGAGATTAAAAAATTATGATGGCGTTATTAATAGCGATGGTGTTACTTAAATCGTTTTGATCTTGAAGCTACTGTGTGTGTAATCATTCACCTCAAAATGTTTAGTAAAATATATTTTTTTATTTCAATTTTTTTTATTTTTTATTTAAGCTACAAATTCTACCTTGTGGGTAAGAAAAAAATAAAAAAAATAATTTTTTCGCTCCACTCTTGTATATGTGAAGCTCTTCCGGTCTGTTTGTTATTTTTTCATGCTTGATAATAATTAAAGAAACTTGATAAAGGAAGCATTAATTATTTTTAATATTTTCAGATAGTTCTGCAGAATTTGAATTTGAAGATACCTGCAGGGAAGACCATAGCCATAGTGGGTACGTCCGGTAATGGCAAATCTACGATCGCTGCTCTATTAGAAAGGTATCTAATTTAGTTACTGACTTCAAATATACGAGAGATTCTCAATACAATGTATTTTTTTAGGGTTCCGTAGCCTAATGAAGCCACAACAATTATATTTTAAGTAAATCTGTTGTGTAATACTTTATTAGATTTACACGAATATTTGACATTTTAAATAAAACTTATTTTTTCGGATATTTTTTTGCGGATTTATTTTGATTTTTGGATACCGACGTTTCAGCAAGCCAAGGAACCAAAAATCTAAAAAGTTGTTTTATTTAATAAAAAACGTATGTCATAGTAATTTGGTAGGTGAAAGTGAGATAAATAATATACCTTTAAAAAAAGGACTTGCATGTTTCTAAACGATTTTTTCGTCGTTGTCATGATTCTTTAACACAAATATAAATATAATGTACTTAATAAGTTTCTGTCTCAGAGAAACTAATATTTAAAGTCATTTATTTGGATTTGAATGAAATTTGGGATATCTTATGAGATAAGAGTATACTCTAAATTAACCCATACGCAGACGCACATAACGCGAGCGGAGTCACATGCGAAAACTAGTACAAATAAAGATCTTCGTTTTTGACTACAGTAGTGTAACTGAAGTTAGTCATTAAATCTTCCATTAGAAGATTTATGGCTAATTTATTTTATTTTTTATTCAATTTTTCTATTTATTATTTGTTTTTTATTTTATCTTACTAATATATTTTATATTAATCAATTATTTAATTTTAATTATAATTTTTTAATTAAATTTTCAATTATAATTAATTTTTTATCCTGTTAAGTGATGTTCATATTCTGGATGTTTATTTATAATTAAACTATTTATTTACAGATTCTACGATGTAAATGCAGGCTCAGTTACCATAGATAATATAGATGTCCGCGATTTCGATTGTCGTTGGCTTCGAGGCAGGGCGATAGGGATTATAAGTCAAGAGCCGGTGTTATTTGCAACTACTGTGAAGGAGAATATCAGATATGGAAGACCAGATGCTTCGGATGCTGAGGTGAGACCTTTGATATTTGATTTGTGGGTATGATTTTGTTTGGAATGATGACAATCATGATTTACGAGTAAAACCGTGACAATTAGTTAATTAAATGACTTCAAAGGAGGAGATTATTTTTATGTAACTGGTTCTGTGGAGTCCTTAGAAATTAAGGATACATAAAAACAATGTACTTATAAATTGTAGGTCTAAAAAAGGTCAATTCATAAAAGTCAGTTAATAAAAGTCCACTATAGCATATATCTATCTCCTTAAGTAGTTAGTACATTTACAATAACTATTTATATTTAAAACGTATTAAATAGTAATGTTGTTCTAGCTCACAGTGAGAATTACGTTTTTACTAGCGACTCACCCTCGTTTCGCTCGGGTTCGTCTCTCGACAAAACAAATCTATCCCACGGGAACCGTATATTTACGGAATAAAAAGTCTTTGTGCTATCCTAGACTATAATCTATCTCTGTGCCAAATTTCATCCAGATCCGTTCAGCCTTTCTGGCGTGATTGAGTAACAAACATCCACCCAAACTTTCGCTTAACACTCAGCACCATCTAGTTCCAAGGTAAGCTACGAGGCTAGTGTTTTGGATACCAGATAGTTGATACACATAATATTATATAACTTTATATACATACATCTATACATATAATAAAATTGTAACTAACCCGAATCTGTACATTAAATATTTTTTAGAAAATCTTATTGAAATAGACATTATTAATTATTATCAATACACAGGCCGAACCTATATTTTTTAGAATTTTTGTCTGTCTATCTGTCTGTTACCGCATCACAGAAAACCCACTGGAGGGATTTTTATGAAATTTAGTATGATGATAGCTGGTTATTCGGGTCAACATATAGGATACTTTTTACCGCGGGAAAATATCTCATTTCTGAGAAAAAATACAAAAACTGCAATGTAAGAGTACTAATGTGTAAAACCTAAGAATTTGGTTTTTGGTCATCTGAACGCAGGTGGAGCCGCGGGCAATGCTAGTATTATAATATAAACATCCATGACTGGAGTACAAATATTCGTGCTCATCACACAAATGAATACCTCGAGCGGGGTTCGAACCCGCGACCGCTGGTACGGCAAGTAGGGTCGCTACGAACTGAGCCAAACGTGTCGTAAATATTTATGGGATAGGATTTTTCTCTCACCAGGTATACCAAGCAGCTAAAACAGCGAATGCCGACGATTTTATCCGCAACTTTCCCGACGGATACAACACGATGGTCGGGGAGAGGGGCATGTCACTCAGCGGCGGACAGAAGCAGAGGATAGCTATAGCGAGGGCGGTCCTCAAGAATCCTCCTGTCATGATATTGGATGAAGCTACCAGGTATATTATATTTATTTCTATTTATAATTGGACGTAATTATGCAAAATAGATCCAACCACAAAGACTTACTTTTGAGATAGAAGTTTTAGTAAAACACGAACACAAATAGACCCTCCCCCCCATCAACCCCACCCCCATCATGACAAGGCGAATACACATCGGGGATGGGATAAAAGTTTGTTGTCGCGAAATATTATTTATTATAGTAAAGTAAGTCGTCAGCATATACATCGTTTGTCATCTCATTTCCAGTGCCTTAGATTCAGCAAGCGAGAAAGTTGTCCAGACAGCGTTGGAAACAGCATCCAAAGGCCGCACAGTGCTGGTGATCGCTCACAGACTCTCGACAGTCATGAATGCTGATCTTATCGTCGTATTGAATAAGGGCAAGATTGTTGAGGTAAATTTCCATTTAGTTGGTTTTATAGGCACTCCCTCGGTGGTCTAGTAGCTAGTATCTACGGTTGCAGAACTGGAGGTCCTGGGTTCGAGTTCCGGGTGGGAATAAGTTCAGTTAATAAGTTTTTCTGTTAAGAAATTCTCAGTAACAACCCGTTGGGAAATTGGCAGTGTTTCACTTCCGTGCCTCGTGGAGCATGTAAAGTCTGTCCTACGCCTGATCTCTGATCCGCCGTGTTGAATTGAATGGCTAATCTCAGTGAGATTGGCACTGAGATGTCACTAATTACTATTATAAACGCGAAAGTTTATGTGTGTTTGTATATGTTTGTTTTCTTGATTTAGATGAGGTTCATTGCACAGATTCTTCTCTTAGTTACGAAATTCGAGATAGATGGCGCTGCGCTTATATGATATAAATAAATATAAGACCAATTATCCACTAAAGCATCCAAGGACGCACCTCAGCGAAAGGAATTTAGTCCCTCAACGACCGCGGACGCGCCGACGTGTCAGTTAACAATAGATTTCTTACAAATTTACCTGGAGGTGCTATTAGTGATATATATGTAATAATGTGCTACAAATATAATAATGTATCGATAAAAACGCCATCTATTGACATTAATTGAACAATTTTTTGTAGTAGTAGTTTCCCATGGCGTAACTCTAAAATTTTGTTTGAATAAATAACACTTTGGAGTATCATCCTACACTCAGATTTTAAATATATGATGGTAAATTGAAAATGATTATATATTCATCCTATTTACTCTTAATAGAAAAGAAAGAGATAGACAATCTGTGAAAATGAAGTCAATTTTTGTTTATTTTCGCAGATGGGCACGCACGAGCAGTTGAAGAAACAAAAAGGACACTATTGGAACTTAATAAAACAACAGGACCAAGATACAGAGTCTAAATCATTATGAAAAGATTAATAATAGTAAAAAACTTTACAGCAAAACCTTAGAAATAAATAAAAACAAAATATAATATTAGACAAATAAAAACATGCTTTAACTATTAATTACTGCCAATTATATATAATGTTGCAAATATATAATAAGGGGCGAAGCAATAACGTGTTTGATTAATGTCATTGCGAATTAGTTCAATAGAAATACAAGGTTTTTAGCTAAATAACCGTCTTCAAAATGGCTGAATTATAACTTTAAATTGTAATGGCGACAACATTGGGTTTTAGACAGTGTAAGAAAATAAAAAAAGAACAGTTTATATAATTTCCATATTCGTCGCGGTTGTACATATTTGTTATATGTATGTATTTAAAGTTATATATGTGTAATGTATCAACTATCTGATATCCATAACACAGGCCTCGTAGCTTACCATGGAACTAGATGGTGCTGTGTGTTAAAGTCCTAACATATTTATTTATTATTATTATTTATATGTAGTAACCATTGATATACAAAACCTAAATATACACAATTAGCGTCTCACAAGTGTCTTGAATAAAAAGCGCACAATTCAAAATTATGAGCTTTTTCAAATATCTTTTGTTCTTTGCTTTTCTGATTAAAAAAATTAAAGCGCACGTTATTTCGTTTATAAAGGACTTTATGTGGTGTGCGTCAGTTAGAATTTGTGTTTGAGAAGTTAAAAGGTTAGAAATTTTTGGTTTGACGTCACACTTCGACACCACTTTTTAAAGAGATGTTTGTTAGGAAATGTGAGAAAATCTATGTTTTTATATATCAATGGTCGTAACATATATACACACAAAAATACAGCCTCGTTTATTGAAGTCGGTTTACGTTCCTACCCACGTAAAAAATGCATCATTTATTACTATAAATAAAATTGTTTATTTAAAACAAAATGGTATGTTTCTAACAATATGTAAAGTAAGAAAATGGGTTTATAGTTGAGTGATGGTTATTGAATTGGAAATTTTACATACAAATATAGGTTAATTAGTAGAGAGGTATAAATGTGGACTTATTGGTATTTTTGTATTTCGAAATAGCAAGACTCGACTATTAAATTAAAAATGGCGGATAAAAAGTTTTATCTATCCCGAGACATTATAGATATCTTGAAAATTATATCCTAAATATTATTGATAGCAGAAACTTTACATTTATTTTATATGCGACATGATTGTTATGGATTTATATGGTCATGTAACACGTCACGATAAACAAAGCCATGGGTATTTGCTAGTCTATAAAAAAGGGATTAAATAAAATTCAATTTAAAACTTTATTTGTATACAGTTTTAGGTCTGAAATATCTATAAATATCTTAGAAATGTTTAAGAATGAAATTTTAAAAATTCAAACTATAAAGGTTTAAAAGAGGTAAATACTTTGACATTTTACTGAAACATGTTATCTAAAAGTAAAATAAAACTGCAACAAAATCAGAAAAAAAAACATTTAAAAAGTCGATAATTCGCGTAAATCTAAGAAAGTATTAGCCTGAATAGTTTTACTCAAGTAATTTTAATTATTATAAAAATTATTTTTCTAAATATGGACGAAGTCGCGGGGGTAAGCTAGTGGTGTGGTATAAAATCAAATATGGCTGTTTTTAATGTACAGTGTATGTATTGTTGACGATTTAAATTATATCAGATGTTATCATGTAAGTAAATAAATTTGTTTTTTTTAAAAGAGTAATGTTTTATTTGAAACCTAACCAATTTGTACGTATTCAGCTCTTTTTTAACTCACACTGCTGGGCACGGGCCTCCTTTCAGTACGAGGGGATCAAGCCACAATCCACCACGCGCCAAGTGCGGGCGGACTGAGCATGTCTTTCAAATGTCTCCTATAAGTGAAGGAGCACACGTATTGTGAGTCTTATGTGCTTTTTGTTTTTATATAATGTTGTATATTGTGTGTATCTTTTGTTGGACATCCTAATTAAAATAAAATAAAAACTTGTAGGTTCTCTTGGAGATGCAGGTTTTCTCACGATATTTTCCTTCATTGTAAGGCAAGTGGTAATCATGTTGGGAATGATTCGCACATGAAAATATTAGAGGTGCGAGACCCAGGATTTGAACTCTCGACACTACTACAAAGACATCTCATACAAAGAAATTAGGTAAGGCTAATTCGGGCTATTTTTGTTTTTAAATAAGTAATAGATGTCGTTGATTGGCAAATACTTTAAACTATTTTATTTTTTTTAAATGTGCCAACCAACGTATGGTAAATATTGTAAAATTCATCCTGCATTTGAATTAAAAAAAATTAGTGAATTTTCAATTTTTAACCGTGATAAACAATTCATAAAAAACAAAAGCGCCATTTTTATATATTTGTGTAATATTTGTACAGCACATCATCTGATTGTTGATATTGCTATAATAAGTAATACATGTAACGTCATCTATCGACATTTATTTGAGCTATTTTGTTTTGTTCGTGATGAGACCCCATGCTATACGAAAGACACTCCAGTCATTTCTTCGTGATCTTTCCTAGTGTTACAAACTTCAGTCAAGAAGTAGTTTACGGTCGAGATAATAGGTGTCGCTACATGTTGCCATTACCACAGATCATATAATACTATACTAGTACCATTACCTTTACTTTTAATACTATAATTAGTTGACAATTATCACTTTCTTTTAAATTCAATTGTAAATTATGTTGTAAAACTATATCAAATTTAATTAAAATTTATGGAAAAATGATAGATAATGCCCGGAAAAAACGTAATAACACCATTTTTTAATCAGGCCTACTACGAACTTGATTTGATAGGACGAGGTCTGCCGGGTCAGCTAGTTATTTCAATAAAAGACACTTTCCGAAGAAGTATTTATTGCATACAGGATCACCAAAATTGTTTGTACAGTAGTAATTTTAAATAACACTGACAAATTATTTACAATACCTATAAGTAAACTATGCTACGTTTATTTTATATTTACAGAATAACAACTTTAGAATAAGTCCTTAAATTCAAGTATACGTAGGTTGTATTTCTATTTCGCTATGATATTTTATCATTACTTTATTTTTATATGGCAAAACCATAGTACTAATCTGATTAACGTTAACTTAGCCATGTTATGATTAAAATAGAAACAATATAATAAATTATTACTATAACTCGTAATGGATTTAATGTGAAGTTTAAAGGGATAAATGAATAAAATAAATATGTATAATAAAATTATCATTTTATTTTGTCTGTCCGTTTGTCTGATTTTTCTTTGTGGGGACAAATCGTATGAATATGACCTTTGCCTATTATCTTTAAACATGCCAAGTTAACTGTACAGTGGCTTTAGTAAGATATTCACGATATTTCAAAACTATAACGGATTTCATACTAATTAATATGGAAGAATAACGTTTCAATTTCTTCCATGTAAGATGTAGGTATTGTAAGGTTGCATTTTTATATATTGAGTGTTTTAATAGAAAATAAACTATTTGATTAATTTGTAATGATTTATGTATAAGGCAGTTACTTATGTGACCTTGGCCGATAGGAATGTGTTTTAAAAAAAAAATAAAGGCGCGGATAATCATTTATTTTCCCGCGCTTTTGCACAGAGATGTCGGTAGCCGGTACCACCATGTAGGTCACTACGAATTGTTTGTAATATTGAAAATTATGATTATAAATTATGTAACTCACTGACGTTTATAAAAGTACTAAATATAAGAATGTAAGCAAGGAATATCTCGAAGTTTTATTAGGGACACTACAGTATAAAACCCGTTCTCGCTTTGAAATGCCATTAATATACGTCCTCAGTAAAATTACATAAAAGTCAGAATTAGCCTAAGTTTTAATTCCTTGGAATTCATAACTTTAACAAGAACCGATGCTAAGTAATTTAGTCGACATTTAGAACAAAATTGAAATTTCATAATTTATAATTAATGGAACAAACTATGCCTGATTAGTTCATATTTAATTGACCACAATTCATTCGGGTTTTGTGTTGAACATAGATTAAAAATAAACTTTAATTATAATTATGAGAGTCCATTTTAGTTATTACGAATTCAGAAATTAAAATGTGTTTCATTCCTTAATAAATTCATTCATATTTATAGATAATGTATTAGTGTATCATGTATAACTTAAATAAAAAATAATGCAGCATTGCAGCTACTGACAGATTAAACCTGAAAAGTTTTTTAATAACAAAAGAGGTTCTAGTTGACAAATATAAATCCATTCAATTATGTACCTACTATGTAAATTCGAATATTAATTAGGTGCTTTAACTACATAGATATTTTATTATTTATTATACAATTTTATTTTAATAATTTAATTTAGATATAACTTTATTCCATATTCCATATCAATAATTTTCAAAAGTTTTAAAAATTGAAATATTGATAACAAAATTAATTAAAAAATTAAACATGTCTATTTTGGTCTTTTAAAATGTATTAGAATAGTTTGAATTTTTTGCTAATGATTATATTATATACGATAACTTACAATACACTTAGTATAAAGATGAAATTAAAAAACATATTAAAAACATATGACCCTCCTTTGGGCTTTTCCGCAGTCGGGTAAAAATAACAGTAAAAGTAGACCGTGGCAAGAAAGAAGTATATTGAAATCAATGCCATTTGGCATCTATATATTTATATAATCTATGCGCTGAATTCATAAATATATTAGTCTATAGACCGCTGACGTCATCGCAGGCCGAAGTGGATCATCGTGCACGTGAAGAGTAGGATGGTGATGCTAGAGGTGATGCCGTGGATCGCACTGTTCCGACGAAGGATTGCGGCCATTTTGTTGCCTGAAATTGTAAAATGTACTTTTTACTTTTGTACGCATTTTCTCTTGGAAGAGACAAAAATGAACCACCCATGAATCCAATGAATATAAAAATTTGTAATATACTTTCTTAGATTTATGCGATTATTTGACATCTATACATACTGATAATAAAATTGTAAATAAGCCGAATCTGTACATCTTCTTCTCCCTGCCCATTTCCCAATTACTTGGGGTCGGCGCAGTACATCGTCTGTACTGCTGATAGAATTTGGCAAAAGTTTTGCGACCGGCCGCCTGCCTGACTTCAACCCTCCTTGGGAATGCTATTGTCTCTCTTTGTCTGAATGGTATCGCGGAAGTCTTGTAGTATGCACTTTTGATTTTTTTTGTCTTTTAAAAAATTTTTTATACTATTACTTGAATTTTTAATGTTATTTTCGGATATATTTTAAAATAAATTTTGATAACAGAAAGGTATAATATTTTGCCTAAAAGGTGTTATACTCGTATAGTTGTTACCTTTGAGATGTCTATAACCTAAGTCTCTCCCGTGACCATGATTGCTGTAAAGCATTCGAAACGTCGGGAACTAAAAATTTAAAATAAATTCGCGAAAAACTCCGAAAAGATAGTTTTATTTAAAATAAAAATTTGTAGTTTTTTTTATATAACAAAACTTGCTAATTAAACGGTATGAGCAGGGACACTTGTAAAAAAAATATACATTTTTATATTTGTCTTCATGGATGGCCAGCAGTAATTGAGCACTAAATTAATGCTAGATTAATTTAACGCTGTGTTATGCGGATAGCGTATTAGCAGTTTTCTAATTTTCTGTCATAATATAAGAGCATCAAATTTTAGGTTTTAGCACTAAATTAGCACTACATGGGCACTAATTTATGCACTTAGTTTTAAGCGATTCTGCTCACTTTGCCTTGCTAGCTTTACATACGTCCACCACGCTAGCCAAATGCGGGCTGGCGGAACTCACATGTACCTATGTCAAAAACTTGCTAGGTTCTCTTCGATACGCAGTTACCTCACGATGTTTTTCTTCACCGTAAGTGAACTGATAATCACGTAATTTTTTTTTAGTTATTTTTAATTAAGTTATAACCAATACTCTCTTAGATTTACGCGAAAAGTTGACATTTTTAAATAAAACTATCTTTTTGGATTATTTCGCGGATTTATTTTGATTTTTGGTTCCCGACGTTTCGAATGCTTTAACAACAATCATGGTCCCGGGAGAGACTAAGGTTTTAGACGTCTCAAAGGCGACATATACTTGTTACAGACAGTACCTACCCACAATTTTACAAAAATGTTTTTTTTTTATTTAGTCACTCCCATGACCATGATAGCTGTAAAGCATTCGAAACGTCAGGAATGAAAAATCAAAATAAATCCGCAAAATAATCCGAAAAGATAGTTTTATTTAAAAAGTTATAACTAAGTTAAAAAAAGTTGTAGGTACGTCTTAATATAATAGAATATGTTAGTCATAAACACTTACTGCCTTCAGACACAAAGACGTGTATCGAAGCGGGTTCCGTGTTACTTGCACTGCAAGTGTAGTTTCCTGAATCCTTCAACGTCGCTCCTCGTACAGTTAGCCTCGATTGTGTTCGAGCCCCTGGCTCTGTCTCCACTGTAATACCTCCTCGAGTCGCGTCATAGTTTATCATCCTCTCGTTGTGATACCAAAATACGTATTGGGGTGGTGTAGGGCTCTGAAATTAATAAAAACGGTTTTAGAGCTTAAAAAGGTTTTAGTGCTTATGAATTACATAGGTAACATATCTTATAATATTAAATGAGCAATTCTTGTATAAACTAATAAATATAACCTTTGCCCACATTGTTCTCTGTATTATCTGTGTTACTATGTTAATATGCAATAAAGAATATATATATAAAATATCGTGTTATTTGGATCAAATTGTATATTTAGATAAGGTTTTACTTTTTAAGCTTATTTAAGTATATAGGTGCCTTCTTTTTTTTTAAAAAACGCAATTTTTACATCTTTTTCGATAAAATACGATTTTACAAAACACCGAGCCGAGTTCGGTCGCCCAATTGTGTGTGTGGTCTGTGTTTAATATGTTGACAGATAGAGCACTTAATGTTGTAGGTTTGTAACAATTTTGAACTAAAGTAAGACAGGTACTAGGCTTACATAATAAATAAAACGTTTATAATCTAGTAGGTTATATATATACTACCTACTTTAATATCTGTAGTGGAGTATATAAATTAGTCTGTGTTACAATACCAAAGTGTATATAATCTGTGACATTACACGAAGATATATTTCCCATGTAACTGTGGATTTGCTCAAGAATTTTGATTGAACGGGTTTCAGTACACGCTTTGACTTCACTATCCAATCACAGGTAATATCGAATAGGTTAGTTACAAGTTCATTCAGAGCGTGCGATTTGGACTTTGGTTTCGATGCTTTGTGTTTTCCTATTATTAAGCGGTTATATAGGTATAGAATGTTAAAATTATTTACAACTAGTTTTTGCCCGCGGCTTCGCTCGCGAGATAAGCGGGATGCTCACGATGATTTTTAACGCGCGCGCTGTCGACACACGTTCTAACTTCTATATATAAATATATATATATATATATATATATATATATATATATATTTAGTTCATTTCCTATCACACAGGGTCAAATATCAATAATAAGCTTTTGCTTGAGCTTAAAAGTTGTTGAGGTTTTGGCGTGTAATTTTAATAGTAGACATATTATTTAATCGTATTAAACATTTACATGTAAATACTGACAGACACATGGTCAATATCATAAAGGAAATTGAGCTTTTATCCCCAGATGTCACCTCCAAAAATAAATAAATCTTATATGGGTCGAACCCATGGATGTACACATCTATAATAAAATTCCGCAGACTGTCTTTATTTTACTTCTTTATCGTTTCAAATTAAAAAAAAATGTATTATTAAATAAAGCATTTTATAAGCTGTTCAAGTTTTTTGTAGATTAAAATTTGTGGAATTTAGATCAATTAACTCATTTGCCGGCTAGCTATAATGTTGTATTATTAAAACAAAGATTCCGACGAATTGAGAGCCTCCTCCTTTTTGGAAGTCGGTTAAAAATACTGTAACTCTACATTTTAAAGAGCAATTTGGTTTTTCTCATCAGCTCAGCTCCACAGATCTGCTTTCTAAGATTGTGGGACCCTTCCTCCGGACTGAATACACTGGCTCTCTTTAAATTAAGTTAACTGAACCAAAACGCATAAATATTTTTCATACTTAAATATATATTAACCGTAGCCGTATATATTAACTCTCATAGAGATTGGAACTACGTAGAAGTTTATGCTACAACCCCATCTAGTCGAGCTACAGCAAAACAGATAACTAAAATCAGTCTCCATGTAAAACATTTACGTGTGTTAAAATATCAAAATAATCAAGAACTTTTGGAGGTTTGAGGTTCTTGCACGAACAAACATTTTAATTTTATGTACATATATATGTAGATGCAATACATTTCATGTTTGAAAGGAATTATTTGAAATAAAATGAAATATTTTATATTTCTTAGTTAATAAACAATATTAAGATAAATCGCATCTGCAAGCAATTTTGGATACATATTGGATTTGTCTGATAAATTAATTGGTTTCAATAACAAATCTAACAGTTCAGTTCTTAATTAAGCGTTTGAAGTAATACCAATTATGGTTTTTAATTTGAGAGAAAGTACGCTGTAACTGTAACAAGTATAAAATAAATATAGTCTAGGGGTCAGGGGCTTCATTGAACACAGATTCTCTTCAGGATAATATTGCATTTCTAAATTAGATTAATTTGAAATGCTTATGAAAATAAAAGATACGACTGAAAGAAACTAAACTTGATAGACAATATTCTTAGTCTAAGGCTGGTCGCATATTATAAGAGTTTTTCTGGCAGAAAATTTCTGACGCCCACCGGAAGGCACTCTGCTTATATGTTTAGGTCTAGACCCCGCGTACTATCAGAATTCTGCGGTGTCTGACGCCCGCTTCTGATGAGTCCCAGATACCACTGATCGGACGTCAGAATTTTTCCTGATCAGAAAGTCGGAGAGCGCGTTCTCTATTCATTTTGTACTAGATGCTAGAGTGTGCGGGATACTTATCAGAAATTCGCATCAGTTGTCAAGCAGACATCGCAAACTAAACTCATTCTTGGTCTCGCTGGAGCGAAGATTCTGATTTATGTGCGGGGTGGTACCGGCGGGCGTCAGAAATATTCTGACAGAAAAAAACTTATAATATGCGGCCGACTTAACTCGGGATTCGAATTCGGAACATCGTTATCTAATGATTTGTCTGTAGACAAACAAAACATTGTATTAAGCATTACTATTAAGTTTTTAAAATCCATTATTATATAGGCACAACCGTCGTAGTGCTGCTTGGTATGTGATTCTACTCAATCGGATTGGTACTGTCTACAAGTAGTAGTTATTCATATACATATACACGTAGGTCGTTACGTATACCGGAGATAGCGAGTTAGGTCATCAGTGGTTAAAAGCCGTTATAGATTACTAGCAGAACCCGCGGCTTCGCGCTTCGCGCTAAAACTCATCCCTTATTTTACCCCCATATGGGATGAATTGTAAAAAAAATGCTAAAAGAAGGACAAACAAACAAACACACTTTCTCATTTATAATATTAGTATGGATTACAAGTGTTTGTTTCATTTAGCTTAAATTTAGGAATATCCATATAAAAGGATATTCTTAATATAAGTCTTCACTTCCGGACACAAACTGTAACCCGAAAGAGGAAAATGAAACTATTAAAAGAACTTACTCGTTGTAGCTTTTAAAGGTATCAAAATGGAACAAATCAATGATTTCACGCTTAAAATTCATCACGTGTAGATACGAGACGGAAAACATCATTAGGAAGTCAACATAATATGTCGGGAAAATAAGAAGGTGAAATTAACCTTAAAAAATGGTTTTTCGCTTAGAAACGTGATATTCTTAAAAATTATTTCTTATATAATATTAGTTACACACACACACATACACACACACGCAAATATATATATATATAGGCAAGAGAGGATATCTTGAATCCCTAAAAAGACGAAAAGGATGGCATAGTTTATACAAAAATAGTAGCTTCTGGAAGTCATTCCTGGCAGTAGTAGATAATAATAACAATATTTTTTGTTATTTTTTAATTCTACTAAAATTCTAAATTATCGCATTAATAATTAATTAACAGTTCATAACACACATACAGACCTTTTCAACGATGCAAATAAGATGTATAACGCTGCCCATATCCACATGGTGTTCGCCAGAGCCTAGAATGAAGGCTTCAGGGACGACAATCTGTAGTCTGACGTAATGAGAGACGATGCCAGTGCGAGTTGACACCTGGAAAATACAGTAAAAGTTGAGTCTAAAAAGAAAATTCTAGATACAATAGTATTAAAATTAGTATATTATTTTGTTTGCCAATTATTACTTTGTTTACGTTTTATACGTGTAAATACGAAATTTGTAACGCGTTTTGAATTTGATAAAAATATTGTATGATGATAAAAATAAGAACGATAGAACACCCTGTAAATATTTTATCTATACAGATAAAATATAAACTTGAAGTGAATGTTTATAATGTCAAAATAATAGCTTTTTACTAAATGCATATACCTAAATTAAATACGATACTTAGAAGAAAAATGCAATTAAAAAAAAAATGTCTGTCTGTCCATCCGTACGTCCATTTGTTTGTCTGCCTGTGTGTTCCGGTTAACTTTAACTGGCAGATAATGTTATATGGAGTAAATTAGGATACTTTAATTCTAGAAAAAGAATTAGGGTTCCGCTTAAAAAATTAAAACGTACGCACGGACAAGCGTCATAAATGTATCAAAACGCCATTTTTAACTTATTTTAATATTAAAATTGTACTATATTAATCAGAGAAATCTAAAGTTAATTTAAATATCATAATATAATATGATAACACTCATAAGAAACATCTGGTATAATAATTTTCTACGTAATGCTTCTAAATTTTACACCGAGCACATTATAGTAAATTATAAAGTAATTTAAAGTTATGTTCATGAACCGTAAAAATTACTGTCGACATACTCGGCTCTTCTTGGACAATGTGCCAATTTATCATGCTTAAGCATGCGAAAAAACCTTTTGCCTCTTAACGGGCATTGATCACGGACGTTTTAGGATTCCAAGGGAAATATTTTGAAACAAAAAGTTAATAAAGGAAACAGCTAGACGGCTGATAGATATCTTCCTAATTTACAAGAAAGTATAATGCTTTATTCTTTTAAATATCTATACATATAAGAAAATTCTAACTGAACTGAATCTGTACATGAAATATTTTTTGGAAAATCTTATTGAAATAGACATTATTATCAATACAGAGGCCGAATCTATAGTTTTTAGAATTTTTGTCTGTCTGTCTGTTACTGCATCACTGAAAAACCACTGGAGTGATTTTGATGAAATTTGGTATGGTGATAGCTGGTTATCCGGGTCAACATATAGGATACTTTTTACTGCGGGAAAATGTCTCATTTCTGAGAAAAATATATAGAACTTCAATGTAAGGGTAAGTAATATGTAAAACCTAAGAATTTGGTTTTTGGTCATCTGAACGCATGCCCATAGTGGCTATAGCTAAAAATTCAATATATTCGATTCCTATATCCAGATTAATAAAAAAGTTTTATCAAACCCGCTAAGCCATTTACGAGTTCATATGCATGTCTATTTTTGAAACTTTTATTTTAGCTTTTGGTCTATCAATGCCACGCCTATTAATATAAGCTTTTATGAACACAGTATAGTATGCCCTTAGTATGTATATGTACCTATATGTCTGTCTATATAGTACATATGTATGAAAAATGATATTTTATACAGACTTTTTAATTTTCCACTATGAGTGGCCTTGCCGCAATGCGGAGAGAACTTTCCATAGTCCACCATGCTGGCAGACGGTTTGGTGGACTTAACACGTATTTTGAAAACTAGTTAGGTCCTCTAACTATCTCGTTTAGGTGATTTTAGTTTATTTTAGGTTTTTTTATCATATTTATAAATAGTAAGTACGTTAAAAATCGCACTTTTTTTATAGCATCGGTACATCCCGTGCGATCCCCGGGATTTGAACCCGCTTCATTTGATTTTTCAAGCAACGAATGGGCTACCACTGCAACACATATGTCCTATATAAATACATATTTACAACGATTTAAGAACATTATAATATATTTTGCAACGTCTTATTTCGCGAAAGCTATTCTTGTGTATTATTAATCATTCTCAAGGCGGGCCCTTAGGGCCGTTCTTTGTATCTAGCATCCTTAGCCATTCATTCACCATACGCTTAAAGGGTAGGCTACAAAAGGTGTGTTAACAGTCTCAAATACGCATCCCCTTTTATTTTCTACATGTTTGTGAGCAAAAACTCCCGTATAGCCCTTCAATATGTGAAATCGTTTTCTTTATGTAAATACGACTATTTCATCTGCATACGGCTACGGTTTAAACATTCAAGCGTTGTTCTCCGTTTTTTCCTTTTGTTTTTATTCTAGAAAATGGGATTTCTAATGGGTCGAATTGAACGTGAAGCGTGAAAGTGACTGTTCCAGTTTGTATGGTAATTTGTTATTTGTGTATAACTAGCGGATCTACGCGCAATATTTCAAACTGGCGGTGCGTGGAAAGTGACGTATGTTCTCTTAGTGTATTTCGTAACTATATATGCGGCATTGAATGATTCTAGTTTATTATTTACATAAAAATTAGTTATATGCCACCACACAATATTGTTGTGTTAAATGAAATGAAAACTTATTCAAATAGACTTATGTTACGTATTTTACCTAATATATTTAAACGAGCAGTTCTTGTATATTTATTTATTTATATCGGATCTCGGAAACGGCTCTAATGATTTCACTGAAATTAATCGCGAATAATCGATCTAGATTAGTCTTATGTCTGGGAAAACGCGTGTTTTCGAGTTTTCATGCGATTTTCTTTTGCATTATTTCACGCATGATGTGGTCGCTAATTTCGCATGGTCGGACATAGGTAAGCATCGTGGTCAAGCGGCCAAGGGGCAAGATTGACAATCACAGGTTCGCATCCCGGTCGGATACAACGTTTTGTTTTTTTTGTATTTAATCAAGTTTTTTTGTTTTTAAGCCAAATTAAAAAGAAAATTGTCTTTTAATGTCTTTTAAGTCAGCTATTATTTAATTAAAATCTTAAATTCATATTATACTTCCACCAAAAGACAATGTATAGTTAAAGCGGGTGGTAATATTATGTCACTAGCGACTTACCCTCGCTTTGCTTCGAGTCCGCCCCTAGACATAAACAAATCTATCCCACGTACGGGAACCGTATATTTTTCCGGAATAAAAAGTAACCTATGTGCTATTCTAGACTATAATCTGTCTTTGTCCCACATTTCATTTAGATCCGTTCTGCTGTTATGACGTGAAAGAGTAACAAACATCCGCACATACTCACAAACTTTCACATTTATAACACAGTATTAGGAAAGGATTAAGATATTGGGAAAATCTTGGCGTTTTTATAAACTCAATGAACAAATTTATTGAAAACTAGCATTGCCCGCGGCTCCGCCCGCTTTCAGATGACCAAAAACCAAATATTTAGATTTTACATATTAGTATACTCTTACATTGCAGTTTTTGTATTTATCAAAAAATTTTCCCGCTGTAAAAAGTGTGCTATATGTTGACCCGGATAACCAGCTATCATCATACTAAATTTCATCAAAATCCCTTCAGTGGTTTTTCTGTGATGCGGTAACAGACAGACAAAAATTCTAAAAACTAGATATTCGGCCTCTGTATCGATAATAATGTTTGTTATAATAAGATTTTCCAAAAAATATCGAATGTACAGATTCGGCTTAGTTACAATTTTATTATATGTATAGATTGTATGATCACAAATATATTGAAATTTGTATAAGATAGATAATGTCTGTCAGGTCAGATAGTACCTACTTAATTAAAATCTTAAATTCATACATTTTCACTAAGAAACAATGCATAGCTTGAGCGGGTGAGTTAGAAATATATTTGCGCTTTGCACAAAACATCTTTTATAATTAAAGTAAGCAGTAAAAAATGATTTCTTTATAAATAGAATGAAAGTTTGTTTTTCATATATTGGTCTATTTAGTAGTTAGAAATAGGTCTTTAACGTTAAATTTCTATCTTCTAAAAGTCTAAAGTTTCTTCTATATTACCAATGAGAAACCTCATCGGGCTTATTGCTTGAATAAATGATGTTCAATGTACGGCTATGATTTCGTTATAACTTTTTATATACTACGGTTTGCCCAGTGGTCGAAATTCGCACATGATCATTGTTGAAAATTTGAGTAATAGGTACATATTTTATGAATAGAATTTACCTATCTGTACAAAAAAACTAACATTCAAATTTTTTAAATTGATATCACAAAAGTTCGTCAATAGGTACTAAACAAAGCAAAAAACTCCTGACAAACAGGAGAAAAGGTACTGAACTGGTTTTTCTTTGCCTATTTATTTACCTATTTAAATTTATGAAACAAATAACTAGATAGTAGATAATGTTTCTATAAGATGTTACTGAAAAAGTCCAAAGCTTAAATTAAGGTCCATAAATGCAAATTCCATTTCTATACAAAATAAGATAGCTTAAGTTAATAAACTTGATTTATAATATATCAAAACAAATATATTAACATAATCCAATATTTAGGGATGTGCAAATCTATCTATATATATAAAAATGAATCCCTATTTCTCTTGGTCACGCCATCACGCGTGAACGGCTGGACCGATTTAACTATTTTTTTTGTTGTGTTTGTTATTGTCAGGAGAAGGTTCTTACGAAAGAAAAGTTTTTAAAAATTGAGCTGAAAATTCTAAAATTTAAGAATACTTAACAACCATATTAAAATGTATATGGCTAACGCTAGGTAATAACTATTTATATATATTTAAAATGTACCTAGCGACAAACCCGAGCGAAGCGACGATGAGCCGCTAGTAAAGCTATAAAAAGTACCCTTTAGTGTGTATATGTACTAGCCACTTCGATTAAAACAGTACTAGATACACAATCAGCGACAAAAAATGTCCTCACCGAATGAGCGCTCATTTGAATATTTGAGCGTACTTTTAATTATTATTTTGAGAAAACAACTTTAAGTATTGCGTTTACGGTTCAATTTACATTGTCGTATATTTATTTAAACTAGAATATTATTATCTAAACACAATGGGTGACAGTTTTAAGACAACTTTTGCTTTTGTCTGTGTATCTATTACTTTTTTGATCTATGACTAACCAATATATTTATA